GCCCCTACACCCCTCCCTATCTCTGTAACCTCCTCCAGCCCCTACACTCCTCCCTATCTCTGTAACCTCCCTCAGCCCCTACACCCCTCCCTATCTCTGTCACCCCCTCCAGCCCTTACCCCCCTCCATATCTCTGTAACCTCCTCCAGCCCCCTACACCCCTCGCTATCTCTGTAGCCTCCTCCAGGCCCCTACTCCCCCTCCCTATCTCTGTAACCCCCTCCAGCACCACAATTCTCTGAGCTATCTGCCCAGTTCCAATTCTGGCTCTTGCATATTCCAGTTTCAGTTGCCCAGGCCCTAAGCTCAGGATTTCTGCCACTTTGATCCAAAGTAATAGTCACCCATTTGCTTCGTTTAATGATTTGGAAGACCCAGGCTCCAGTTTGGATTCCCACTCGTGTGTGCACATTTTTATCTCCCACCCTGAGTGACTCTTTGATTGTATGATGGAATCTTTTAATTGAGAAGGAGACCATTCTGTCCATTGAGTCTAATACTGCTTCCTTTGAGAGCAATCCAGTTAGTTCCAGTCCCCTACTCTTGCACCAAATCCCTGCCATTACTTCCTGTTCAAGTATTTATTCTGCCGCCTTTTGAAGACAATTACTCAAACTGTGTCCAAAATTATGAGCGGCACAGACAGAGTAGATCGTGAGAAGTGTTTCTCCATGGCAGACCATGTCTAAGACCAGAGGGAGTAAGTTTAACATGAGGAGCAAGTGGATTAGCGAAATCTCTGGAAAAATGTTTTCACCAAGAGGGTGGTACAAATAAAAATATGGGATTAAGAGTCTAATGATGGCTGTGAATTCATTATCGATTGTTGGAAAAACCCATCTGGGTCACTAATCCCCATTAGGGAAGGAAACTGCCATCCTTACCTGTTATGGCCTACGTGTGACTCCATACCCACAGCAATGAGGTTGACTCATAACTGCCCCCTGGGCAATTAGGGATGGGCAATAACGTGAATCAATGAAGAAAATGGAACGTGCTGCCTGACAGGTTTGTGGGGACAGCGACTCTCACAACATTTAAGAAGCATCTGGACAAGCACTTACAATGGCACCGTAGGTATGAACCAAGTGCAGGTAAATGGGATGGGTGTAGTTTGATATTTGTTGGGTCGGCATGGACTGTATGATTGGGCTGGGCATTCCTAATCATAATCACCCACTGAGTATGAAAAAATCCTTTGTATTAATTTGCAAAGTGCTACTCTGATCCCGTTATAGTCCTGCATTTCACAGATAAATCTCTCATAAAAAGAAAATAACCATCTCAAATCTAATCACGTAGCTCTGCTCTCACCCTTGGACTTTGAGTCGATAGGTTTTTGTAGTGTCCCAGCAATTCCTGCCAACATGGAGTGAATATTCCTTTCCTGTCCATCAGGGACGAGATGAAGCAACTGTCACGGAGAATGGATACGCTGACCAAAGATACAGCCAGGATACAGACAGAAAACAGCGAAGCAGAAAGGGACATAAAGCAGCTGGAGGAGGAACCGAGGATTCTGAACGTGTCACGCATCGAGAAAACAAAGGAGCTGCAGAAATTTATCACATCAAACTTCAAAGGTGTGTTTTTATTCAGCTGAGTTTTCTGAACTCAGGAGAATACCCTTGAGTCATAAAAGCACATGATTCAGAGGAAGTTCATTCGTCCCATTATCTCTGTACTCTAACACAACTTTCTGTTCTTTCCCCATTGTTTTGCAATTTTCTTTTCCATAAGACCATAAAACATAGGAGTGGAATTGTTCCACCATTCGATCATGGCTGAAATGTTTCTCAACCCCATTCTCCTGACTTTACTCCGTAATCTTTGATCCTCTTACTAGTCAAGAACCTAGCCATTTCTGTCTTAAATACACTCAATGTCTTAGCCTCCACAGCCCTTTGCAGCAATGAGTTCCATAGATTCACCATCCAATGGCTGAAGAAATTCCTCCTCATCTCAGTTCTAAAGGGTCGTCCCTTCTCTCTGAGACTGTGCCTCGGGTCCCAGACTCTCCTGCTACTGGAAACATCTTCTCCATGTCCACACTATCCAGGCGTCTCAGCATTCTATAAGTTTCAATCAGCTCCCCCTCATCCTCCTAAACTCCAAGTACAGACCCAGAGTCCTCAACCGCTCCTCATAGGACAAGCCCTTCATCATTCTTGTAAATCTTCTCTGGACCCCCTCAATGCCAGCACATCCTTCCTTAGATCAGGACCCAAAACTGCTCACAATATTCCAAATATGCTCTGATCAGAGCCTTTTCCCTTCGGATTTTGATCTAATTCCCCTTTGAAAGTTATCATGGAATCTGCTTCAGCTACCCTGTCAGACAGCACGTTCCAAATTTAAAATTTCAAAATTCCATTAATTGAGGAGCCATTTCTACCATTTGGGATATTGTGAATGTCACTCTAGTAAAAGATGCAGCAGGGGAATGAGGTGATAATAGAGCAGCAAGACATAGCTCCCAACATCATAATGTGCCTGAACACTTTGCATTTTTGTAGTTGATCTGAGAGAGCCAGCAGAGATTTATGAATGATACGCCAGGACTGACGAACAGGAATACAGAGTACTGGGCTAATGGTAAGATTCTTGGTAGTGTGGATGAGCAGAGAGATCTCGGTGTCCATGTGCATAGATCACTGAAAGTTGCCACCCAGGTTGATAGCATTGTTAAGAAGGCGTACAGTATGTTAGGTTTTATTGGTAGAGGGATTGAGTTTCGGAGCCATGAGGTCATGTTGCAGCTGTACAAAACTCTGGTGCGGCCGCACTTGGAGTATTGTGTACAGTTCTGTTCGCCACATTATAGGAAGGATGTGGAAGCATTGGAAAAGGTGCAGAGGAGATTTACCAGGATGTTGCCTGGTACGGAGGGAAGGTCTTATGAGGAACAGCTGAGAGACTTGAGGCTGTTTTCATTAGAGAGAAGAAGGTTAAGAAGTGACTTAATAGAGACATACAAGATGATCAGAGGATTGGATAGGGTGGACAGTGGGAGCCTTTTTCCTCGGATGGTGATGGCTAGCATGAGGGGACATAGCTTTAAATTGAGGGGTGATAGATATAGGACAGGTGTCAGAGGTAGGTTCTTTACTCAGAGAGTAGTAAGGGCGTGGAATGCCCTGCCTGCAACAGTAGTAGACTCGCCAACTTTAAGGGCATTTAAATGGTCATTGGATAAACATATGGATGATAATGAAATAGTTTAGGTTAGATGGGCTTCAGATTGGTTTCACAGGTCGGCGCAACATCGAGGGCCGAAGGGCCCGTACTGCGCTGCAATGTTCTATGTTCTATGTTCTATGTTCTATCACAGTACATTGGCGATGTGGCTCAGAAATAGGCCATCCAGCTCAACCAGTCCATGTTGGTCTACTCAAGCCTCCTTCTATTGTTCCTCATCTAAATCCACCATTGTAAACCCTCGGCTTCCATCTCCCTCTTTGTTCTATTTCGTTTCTCCTCTATGTATCGATAATGTTCACATCAACTACTCTTTGTGACAGGCCAAAAGACAGAGGAGCAGGAGTAGGCCATTCAGCCCATCGAGTCTGCTGCACCATTCAGTGAGACCATGGCTGATCTGATCATCCTCAACTCCACTTTCCTGCCTTTTCCCATAGCCCTTGATTCCCTTCCTGAATAAAATTCTGTCTATCTCAGTCTTGAATAAACTTAAGGACCCAGCCTCGACAGCCCCCTGCGGTAAACAATTCCACAGATTCACTCCCCTCGGAGGGAAGAAATTCCTCCTCATCTCTGTCTTAAGTCGGGTGACCCTTTATTCTGAAACAATGCACTCTGCTCCTTGACTCTCCCACAACGGGAAACACCCCTTCTGCACATCCCCCGAGAACCCTGTCTGTTTCAGTAAGGTTGCTTTCATTCCTCTCAACTCCAGTGAGTACAGGCCCAATCTACTCAACCTCTCCCTTATAAGACAGTCCCTCCATCCCTGGGATCAGCCGAGTGAACCTTCGCTGCACTGCCTCCAATGCCAGTATTTCTTTCCTCAGATTTTTCCCTATGACACAGTAGGGATTAATTAAGAAATTAATAATCCAAGGAATATCGTTCATCATTTATCTAAACAACTTGGATGAGAATATAGGAGGCATGGTTAGCAAGTTTGTGGATGACACCAAAACTGTTGGTATAGTGGACAGTGAAGAAGGTCATAGAGTTATAGTTGCAGGTAAACAGGGCGGTGAAGAAGGCATTTGGCTCACTTGCTTTCATCGGTCAGAGCATTGAGTATAGGAGTTGGGAAATCATGTTACAGCTGCACAAGACATTGGTGAGGCCATGTTCGGAGGATTACGTATAAGTCTGATCAGTGTGCTGTTGGAAGGATGTTATTAAACTGGAAAATGTGCAAAAAGATGTACAAGGATGTTACTGAGACTGAAGGGTTTGAGTTATAAGGAGAGGCTGATAGGCTGGGACTCCTTTCCCTGGAGCGTAGGAGGCTGAGGGGTGACATTATAGAGGTTTGTAAAATCATGAGGGGCATAGATGAGGTGAATAGCCAAGGTCTTTTCCCTGGGGTGGGGGAGTCCAAAACTAGAGGGGCATAGGTTTAAGATGAGAGGGGAAAGATTTAAAAGAGACCTGTGGGGCAAATTTTTGACACAAGAGGGTGGTGCGTGTATGGAATGAGCTGCCAGAGGAAGTGGTGGAGGCTGGTACAATTACAACATTTAAAGGCATTTGGACAGGTGCATGGAGAGGAAAGGTTTAGAGGGATATGTGCCTAATGCTGGTACATGGGACTAGTTCAGTTTAGGAAACCCAGTCAGCATGGGTGAGTTGGGCTGAAAGGTCTGTTTCCATGCTGTATTGCTCTATGAAATGGGTTCAAATCCCACAGTGGGCAGTTTAAGAATTCAAATTCAATTATAAGAATTTAAAAAATCAAAACATTTGGGTTAGTCAAAATGACAGTTGTCATAGAAACCAGTTCATGAATGTCCTTTTGGGTTGTAAACCTTCTGTCCTTACCCTGTCTGGGATTCTTTGTGACTCCACTCCCTGATTCATTCATAACTGGCCTCTGCAGGATCTTATGGGCTGTTTATTTCATAAAGCAGCTTCCCATCATCTGATCAGGGAGTGAGTGAACAATCATCACTTTATCAGTAATGTTTACCCGCTGAGGAATTGCATACTGTGCATCCAGCTCATTGATGAACTTCTCAAACGTTAATGATTGGAAATCTGTGTTTTACAGAGCTCTATGATTCAATGCTCAAGTATTACCAGGAATCCTGTGAAGCTGAGAGAGTGGTGAATGGATCAGTATATGGTCCGTATAGCCCAGTCGCACAGTCAGAGGACACAAGGCGTGAAGCAGAGAGACTCCTTCAGGAACAGGAAAACACCTTTCGAAAGTCAATGGCTGCTCAGAGGAAGCAGCTGAAGGATTTGGAGAATAAAGTCAAGGAGCAAACGGTGGAAAACATCAATGAGAAGGTCAGGGATTAAGCTCATTCTCACGGCTTGTCAATATTGGAGCCCCAATGAAAGTAACCTCAGGGAATTCAGTATGAACTGGAAATGGGCAAGGAGGGGGTGTGTGTGCAAGAGCGAGAGGATGTTAGAGTGTATCTGTGTGTGTGTTTGTGAGTGTGTGTGTGAGAGTGTTTGTGTGTGTGTGTATGTGAATGTGTGTGTGCATGTGAATATGTGTGTGTTTCTGCATGTGAATATGTGTGTGTTTGTGCATGTGAATATGTTGTGTGTTTGTGTGAGAGTGTGTGTGTGTGCATGTGAATATGTGTGTGTTTGTGTGTGTGTGTGTGTATGTGAATATGTGTGTGTTTGTGTGTGTTTGTGCATGTGAATATGTGTGTGTTTGTGTGAGAGTGTGTGTGCATGTGAATATGTGTGTGTTTGTGTGAGTGTATGTGTGTGTGTGTGTATGTGAATATGTGTGTGTTTGTGTGTGTGTGTGCATGTGAATATGTGTGTTTGTGCATGTGAATATGTGTGTGTTTGTGCATGTGAATATGTGTGTGTGTGTGCATGTGAATATGTGTGTGTGTTTGTGCGAGCATGTGTCTGTGTGAGTATGTTAGAGTGTGTGTAGGTGTGAATGTGTGTGTGTGAAAGTAGGTGAGGGATATCTGAAGGATTAAACAAACAATGAAGCTTGTTCTTGATGACAGAATCTTCAGCTCTCAGACAGTGAGTGAGTCAGGAGGGTTTCTGGGTCCCAGCCTTTCTCCACCTATCAGGACACCAGACTGCAAGGTTTTCAGAGTCAGTGAATTGGGTCTGTCCAGGTGGCAGTCCAGTTCAGGAGCGAAGGCCTATCTCCACTTTAAGTTGTTCTATTATTGGCAACTGCACCTTCAGCTTCCCCACTGCTCAACTTAGCTCTCCCTCTCTCAGAGTCTCGTCCGATCCCTGAGCTCCTTGTTTGCCTCGCCATCTATGTTTTGGCTGTTTGTGCCTCTGCCCAGCACTCATGACATTTAATTTGTAAAATTGGTTAAAATGCTGGACCAGTCACCCTGCTGCTGTTCCATCTCTGGCCATGAGGTGGCAGGAGCTGACTGTATGTGGCTGTTCAGGTCCAGCTCAGTTGGTGAGGGAGGTGGTTTGTGATGTAAAGTGATGCCAACTGTGAAGGTTCAGTTCCTGTCCTGGCTGAAAGACACCATGCAAACCCTGACTTCTCAGCCTCACTCCTCACCTTAGGGTGGTCATGGGCGAGGTTAAACTTCCAATGGGTTGTTTCTGTCCGACAAGGAAAGCCAGTGTGGAAACATTGAGTGACTATGATGCTAGGATGATCATACTGAGAGGTGCTTTGTTCTGTTTTATTGAGCTGGGTATGACGACACGCTGAAAGAGACATTTGTACATTACCAGCAGAAGCCTGAGGTTCCTTAAATACATCAGGAAGTAAATACCAAAGTGGTACGACTTTACGTGGCCCCCTGTTGATACATTAAGAGTCTTTGATCACTAAGAATCATTGACTGGTACTGCACAGAAACAGACCATTCAGCCCATCATTCTTATTAGTTAGAGTCAGGAGGCACAGAGTCAAAACCAGAAATTGGCTGGAGAAACTCAGCAGGTCTGGCAGCATCTATGGAGAGAAAGCAGAGCTAACAGTTCGAGTCCAGTGACTCATTCTGTTTCAGAATGAGGTTGTTTGACCTACTGAATCCCTGCTGGATTTCCCATTCCCTGAGCTCTCCCTCAGCTATGCATCCAATTTCTTTGTGAAATCATTAGTCATCTCTGCTCCCACTCTGGGCAGCAAGTTCCAAGTTGTTACCCACTCACTGTGAAAAAAAATTCTTCCTCATATTCCCCACTCCAATTCACTCCCAAAACAACCATTTGTGTTGCCTACTCCTTGTGCTGTCAGTGAGAGGGAACAGCATTTCTCTGTCGAGCTGCAGGAGCTAGATGTATTCCATTTGACGTGACTGTTCACTAAAACTGACATCCATGGAATTGAGACAAATTACTGACCTGGTTCAGAAACTTGCTGAACGACAGGAGACAGAACCAGGTTAATGGACAGATATTTCGGTGGGCAGCATGTGATGAGAGAAGTCCTACAGGGATCTGTGTTGGGGCCTCAACTGTTCATCTTTTGATAAACAACTTAGATGATGGAATATCCAATTCACTTCTGACACAAAGTTAGTCATTTTAGAAGCAAGTGTGGATGGGAACATGAAAGAGATATTCCCCAATGAAGTAAATAGACAAAACTGTGACAAATGGATTTCACAGAATAAAGAATTAAGGCATGTGGGATTGTGGGGTAGTGTACTGAAATGGAAAGAAAGCTGGCTGATGGCCAGGAAACAAAGATTGGGAATAAATGGGTCATTTTCCAAGAGGCAGGCAGTGAGTAATGGGATACCGCAGGGATCAGTGCGAGGACCACAGCTGTTCACACTATATTCATGATACAGACGTGGGAATTAAATGTAATATCTCCAAGTTTGCAGATGACACAAAGCTGGGTGGGAAGGTGAGCTGTGAGGAGGATGCAGAGATACTTCAGTTTGATTTGGACAGACTGAGTGATTGGGTAAATATGTGGCAGATGCAGTATAATGGTGGAAAGCTAAAACAGGGGACATCCACAGAGCTTTGGGATTTCAAGTAATCGGAGCATTAGACTGTTATCAACAAGTCCAGAAATAACCCAAAAGGCCAGTGGATTGCTGGCCTTTCTATCGAGAGGAATAGAATACAATGGGTTGAAGCTTTACCTTCTGAGCACCAGAGCTCAGGAAAGATAAGCTGCCTTCAGAGAGAGTACAGCATCGATTCACTGGAATAATACCTGAATTCTGAGGGTCAAGTTATAGAGGGAAATTAACCAAACTCTGGAATTTAGAAGATTATGGGTGGGTTTGATAGATATTTTCAAGATATGAATGGTAGCAGATCAGCCATGATTTCATTGAATGGTGGGACAGGCTTGAGGGAATGAATGGCTTATTCCTGATATATGTTCCTATGAACAGATAGGATAGATAAATTAGCATTTGATCTAACAATCATAAGTCTGAGATTGATCATTGTTCCTTCATTAAAGATCTTAAGGAAGATGGGTTAAAGACTTAAACCTGTGTCCCCTGCTGTACCACCAATAAATAGGAACCATTTTCCTTTGGAGATAGTAGGAACTGCCGATGCTGGAGAATCTGAGATAACAAGGTGTAGAGCTGGATGAACACAGCAGGCCAAGCAGCATCAGAGGAGCAGGAAAGCTGATGTTTCGGGTCTAGACCCTTCTTCAGAAATGAGGAAGGGGAAGGGGATTCTGGAATAAATAGGGAGAGAGGAGGAGGCAGATAGATGATGGATAGAGGAGAAGATAGGTAGAGAGGAGACAGACAGGTCAAAGAGGCGGGGATGGAGCCAGTAAAGGTGAGTGTAGGTGGGGAAGTAGGGAGGAGATAGGTCAGTCCAGGGAGGACGGACAGGTCAAGGAGGCGGGATGAGGTTCGTAGGTAGGAAATGGGGGTGGGGCTTGAGGTGGGAGGAGGGGATAGGTGGGAGGAAGGACAGACAGGTTAGGGAGGCAGGGACGAGCTGGGCTGGTTTTGGGATGCGTTCGGGGGAGGGGAGATTTTGGAGCTTGTGAAGTCCACATTGATACCATTGGGCTGCAGGGTTCCCAAGCGAAATATGAGGTGCTGTTCCTGCAACCTTCAGGTGGCATCGTTGTGGCACTGCAGGAGGCCCAGGATGGACATGTCGTCTAAGGAGTGGGTGGGGGAGCTGAAATTGTTCACGACTGGGAGGTGCAGTCTTTGTCACGAACCGAGCGTAGGTGTTCCACAAAGCGGTCCCCGAGCCTCCGCTTGGTTTCCCCGATGTAGAGGAGGCCACATCTGGAACAGCGGATACAGTATACCACATTGGCAGATGTGCAGGTGAACATCTGCTTGATGTGGAAAGCCTTCTTGGGGCCTGGGATGTGGGTGAGGGGGGAG